CTCATCTGAAGAGTATCCAACTCCTTTTAAAACAGGTCCAATTGCTCTTTTGTCGGCTCTGAAGCAGCTCACGTCAAGCGTCGCTGTGAAAGTTTATATGGCGATAGGTATAGAAGAACTATATTTCACTTGCTACACGTTGTATACCAGCTCTCGTCATGCACGCCGGCCGCGCTCGATCAAAAGGGGTTGCAGCGTGTGTCAAGATTTTACGTTTTACTGATTTAGAAGGTTGAATATTTAGAACGTCATGCTGAGTTTTCCTCATGTCATTGAATGTGGCATATGATACGAAAAAACTATGTCATCTATTATTTTGTTTATATATATTTTACCAAAACCCATAATCATGGGTAGAGTGGACCGCTGTCAGTGTCTCTCTTTCCCAAACAAAAGGAAATGATATTAATTTGATTGACCGTTCTCAAATGCAAAATGATACCGAGAATGAAATCGGTCGCTCGCTTTTCCCATTCATTCACGGCTTACGAATTGTATAATTAAGTTTCGATTGATTACATCAATCAGATGCTGTAAAAATCTCTTTGGGTTGCGTTCGGGTCGATACCTAGTATTTCGGGGTAAGGGACAAGGGTGGTAGTTATTACTTATTGAACAAGCTGAAGTTTATTGAATCTTCATTGCCGAGTACAGCTGTCTTTGGATAGTTCTTCTTAATCTATTACAATTGTAAATGAATGGGAAAAGCGAGCGACCGATTTCATTCTCGGTATCATTTTGCATTTGAGAACGGTCAATCAAATTAATATCATTTCCTTTTGTTTGGGAAAGAGAGACACTGACAGCGGTCCACTCTACCCATGATTATGGGTTTTGGTAAAATATCATCTCTTTTTGATTATAATGTCAGGGTACTTTATAAAGTCAAAATATAAACTGATATCTTCATTAATAAGGAGGAAGTTTCAACGATTTCGAAATTTTTCCTTTAAAAACATTTCCTTGTGTTTAGGGAAGCATATCGGTCGATCACTGACTGAATATGCCACTTAATACTCATTCAAGTAGGCATTAAATTCATATATAATGACATTAAACTGTCGTGGCAAAGCAGAATTTGTTGGAAATCACGAATGAGCAAAATTCTCACCTTTCGCACGTGCAAACTTTGAGCGGACGTTGCGTGCGCATCCAATATTGAATCGCCGTAAATTTTTGCATGTAATTGTTTTATATATAGCCTAATAAGCATGTAAAGTTTCAAAGTATTTCAAGAAGAACTGTAATCACAACGGCACTCTAAAGTTGACAGAAAATGACGAAAACAGCAATTTTCAGTGATTTTAGCGATTTTCTATCAATTTGGGCGTGTCCCCACGTGTGCAACTTTTCGATTTTCAACTTTAAAACTAGCCTAATACACAATTTATACCTATAGGAAGCAGAACTGAGCTCCACAACCCAAGGCATGGCCCAACACCAGAGAATACTAAATCGCAAAATTGACGTTTTTATAAAATAATTTTTCAAAAAAGCACAAACTTCAATGACGAATATCTTTATGAAGGAGCAAGCTAGAAAAACTTTCCGGTAGATTTTCAGAATGCTTGAACAATTATCTAAGGTAAAAATTTCCTCAGATTTTGAATAAAATTACTCCTTAATGGTTTAAAATTAATTTTAAAAGTTAATACTTTGTCAAAAATCAAGTTTTAAAAACGGTTAACTTGATGACGTCATCAAGGGGTGTTTATGACGTCAAATAATTTTTTTACACAATGTAAACTAAAGTATAAACAATTATTTGCAAGACCTGTGGTCGGAAATGGCTGTATCTTTTATACTTTTGAATCTATGGACACTTAAATACAGACTACAATTGACTGGCAAAGCGTCTATCCCTGAATATATCACGACAATCTATCGTAAAACAGGGGTTCTAGAAAACCCATTTCCCGATGCTCCTGAAACCTGAAACTTTTTTTGCAGTCGATTTGGTCAACGTTTAGACGCCCTGAAAAATTTCAGATCTCTAACTCAATTTTAACATGGTTTTTAAGGCACCTGAATATGGCGATTTTGGGTTTTTTACCGAATTTCGTATAACAGTGCTGGTGAGTATTTTATGCAAATTTAAAATTTCTTAAAAATCTCAACATAACTATTTTTTATTCCTGTCATCTTTGACATCAAATTAGAATGTTTTGAACTAAAAATAAATCTGCTGAACGACTTCCGATGAGTCTTAATGCCTGAAAAACTCCTGCCGGAGGACCTGTCTTTTAAGACAGGTCCAATTGCCCTTAAGTCGGCTTTGAAGCAGCTCGGGTCAAGCCTCGCTGTAAAATGATGATAGATAGAAGAACTAGATATCACGTTTTAGAATGTTGAATGTTTATTATGTCATGCTAAGTTTTACTTAGGTCATTAAATGTGGCATATGATACAAAAAGACTGTGTCATCTACTATTTCATTTATCTTGTGCAATCTATGTGGAATATTTTATTCATCATGTCATCATTAACCTGCGAAAATTTATTGATTCACTCTGACTCACCTTCAAAAGTATCTGGGCAGAGAAGAAGTATCGCCAATCCTATCATCTTGTTATGTAATATATTGTTGTTATCGCCGTTCCATTTACACAAAACTAGATAACGGATTGATTATAAAACAAGGGTCAAAATAAAAACATAAAAATGTGTTGTTATCACCTCGTTCAACAATTTCGTATTTTTCTTATTCATCACCACCATGCTCCCAACCCCATAACGGAATAACCATGTAACCCATCAAATAAAAAATGTACAACAAATATGTAACGGATAAATAATAAAACATTGTACAAAAAATTACTGTACACCAAAAAATATCAAAACAACGAGAAATCATCTAAAATATCATAAAAGCACAAATGATAATAAATTAGAACAAATATCAACATAATATTACATAATAACAAAATAACAACAAAATAACAACAAAATATACGATATTTCAAGGGATGAATCAAAATCGTAAAATATCAAATTTGCTCCTTCATCAAAATAAATTTTCAAACATTGTAATTTACAGAAAAAGGCGATTAAATGAAAATAGAAGGTGTTAAAACCTCGTAAAACTTATAAGTACACGGATGTTTAGCTTTTATAAATTTTTTAACGTATTTACGCAACCGATTAATATTCAAATTCCGATACAATAATTTACTCTTAAGAGATTTCACATCTCTAATAAATCTTTTAAATTTGGTATTTGCATTACCAGTCTAAATTATTGCGAATAACGTAGTCTAAATGATTGCAATCTTCTAGTTCTATCAGGGGATTTCAAATTAGGCATGCTAATATCTTTAAACTGAAAGTTATAAGCATGCATATTGTCTAATTTGTACTGAAAGTGAATTCATTATTTTCAATAAAAATATCCAAATCCAAAAATGCTCCAAGTTTATTACTTTCATTAATTTTTCCTAATATTAAACAAGCTGGATATGTTGATCAGTGTCATAGAGACAAGAATTACGTCATGGTATCTCCTTATCACGGCTGCACTCGCCTCTTGTTCAGTCCTCTTCTTCTTCAGGTCAGTGACCCGATGCTTCCTTGCTGAACGCTCTTCATTCGGTTTATCAGGATGGATCCTTACATCTTTGTGGGTGAGGACACCTTATTATAGTGAAAGCTGGGATGTTAAATAGAGGGATAAACACTTTGTCCCCGGAATTCGATAAGAAAGGTATAATCAATTGACATAATACTAGTAGTCTGCCCATGAAAACCCCATGTTGACTGTTAATCGAAAAACAATTGAGTTTATTTCTTAATGTAAATTTACAAAATTTGACAATAACTGTTACCTCTAAATTTCTAAATTCACATAACTACTACTACTACTACTATGTCGGAACTAAGTCCGATCTACGCCAGATAACCCCTCCATATATCCCTGTCCCGCATCAGGGTTCACAGTTCCTCTTTAGAGTTTGTCCCAACTTCCTCCAGTAACATAGACAAGTAGCTTTGTCTTGGTCGGCCTTGCTGTGCTCTACCATGCATAGGTTCCCATAAGACTAAATCACTGGCAAGTAGCTCAGGATGTCTGATGCAGTGTCCACTGTCCCGCCAATACACATAAAACTCCAGCCTTTTTGATTTGTATCATTAGTTCTGGACCTGGCAAAACCTTCTAGACCACATAACTAAAAATACAAAATTAATAGCATAAAACGCAGTGCCTGGTTTCCAAGTAAATAATAGTGGTCCATTTCCTATATCCATAATCTCTGCAGCGCTCACGCGTGACCAATTTCCATGGTAACGTGTTAAGTATCCATGGTCACGTGTTAAGTATCCGCCAATATGAATCAAGAGTTAAACCCGGAAAATAAGGTCAGTGCTGGAAAAACTAAAACTAAAAGAAGATCTCAGAACTCTCGGTACTGCCACTGGCTTACTGAGCACTTGGATATAAGTGTATTTAATTTCAGTAATAAGGTAATACTACAACGTGTGCATACTTTCTATCATTAATTTGTTGGCTTGAAACCTTTCCAACTGAACGAGCCTGGCGTTAACATTCTTAATATCAGTCACAACACAGCCTACGTGTAATTCTGTTAATAGATTGTATAATGTATATATGTTTTTTTATTTTAAGAGATAACTGTCCTCCCATGTGCAAATTAAAGAATTAAGTAAAGACTAAGAAGTTGCATAGCAACGGAGTTGGAATTGCGCACGTGCGCACGTGCACCACACTTCTTGCCAACCCATCGTCTTTTAGTATGCAAAAGTTTTGCAAATTACTGTGGCTTGGTGTAATTAAAATGTCCATTCTGGCATTATATTAGAGTATTAGAGTATTAGTTAGGTTTGGGATAAAATCATTAAGCGCGATGTTTATGTTTCTTAACTGCCGGATAACCTAGTTTATCCACATTTCTTCTAGTTCGGTTGGTTTTAATGATTTTCTCGTAATTAATTCGCTAATTACACTATTGTTTTTGATAGCACTAAGTATAAATAATGACAGAGAATTCAGAAAAATTTGTAAAACAAGATATGCAGTAACTACAATAACAATGATTACACCTATAAAAGCGTGAAATATTAACTTATTAATAAAAAAGAAAAGAAAGTCCCTGGGTAAAGAAAAAAGTAAAAGTCTCAATATAGTAATATGACAGACAATATAAATATTACTTATAGATGTGGATTCTGGTGGGGAGGTGAGGCATATTTTGTTGACAGCAACTACCTTATCATAGGACGTTATTTGAAGACAATTAAAACCCTAGCCAGACCTAACAAAGCTCATCTAACCACCAGGATCCGTATCTATTTACCTGCGGGGACCTCAGGCTTAAGTGTTATAAACGATCCAAGATATGGCGGAGTGACAGGCAGAGTACCGCCTAGTGACAGGCAGAGTACCGCCTAGTGACAGGCAGAGTACCGCCTAGTGACAGGCAGAGTACCGACTAGTGACAGGCAGAGTACCGCCAAGTGACAGGCAGAGTACCGCCTAGTGACAGGCAGAGTGCCGCCAAGTGACAGGCAGAGTACCGCCTAGTGACAGGCAGAGTACCGCCTAGTGACAGGCAGAGTGCCGCCTAGTGACAGGCAGAGTGCCGCCTAGTGACAGGCAGAGTACCGCCTAGTGACAGGCAGAGTACCGCCTAGTGACAGGCAGAGTACCGCCTAGTGACAGGCAGAGTACCGCCTAGTGACAGGCAGAGTACCGCCTAGTGACAGGCAGAGTACCGCCTAGTAACAGGCAGAGTGCCGCCTAGTGACAGGCAGAGTGCCGCCTAGTGACAGGCAGAGTGCCGCCTAGTGACAGGCAGAGTGCCGCCTAGTGACAGGCAGAGTGCCGCCTAGTGACAGGCAGAGTGCCGCCTAGTGACAGGCAGAGTGCCGCCTAGTGACAGGCAGAGTGCCGCCTAGTGACAGGCAGAGTGCCGCCTAGTGACAGGCAGAGTGCCGCCTAGTGACAGGCAGAACTTATAAGTTTAACCAAAAGCGCTAAACTGTCTTGGCATCTAATAGCTTAATAGTAATATACAACATATATAAAACACATAATAACAAATGATTTACAGCTCCTGTTTGAGCTCCTTCAATTGTTCCTTTTTCAGCTTCTTCTCCTTTTACAGCTCCTCTTTCATTTCTTCATGCTGAAATGCGTGATCAAGAGGAGCAGGTTTGTTCTCGTAGCTGCTCTTCAGGTAGGTCAGCACACTGTGTAGGTCCTTCTCGGAGTGGCCTGGAAACAGTTTGGTAATTCATGCGTCTTGCATTAATTATTAATAAATAAATAAAATTATTTATTAATTAATTGCGTCTTGAACGAAAAGGAAGATTGAATTTATAAGTTAAAGTCTGTTAAAAAAGCATGTAGTTTGAGCAAAATTTAGTAAAACTATAAGTTTGATTTCTTGATCTTGTCAAAATCATATAATGAGCAAACTTAATCTGAGCAACCACATATTAGCTGCGTGATTTTGCAAGTTTGCAATACTACTAATAAGTGCTATAGTTAGGCCTGTGAAAATGTTCAGGTTTTCAGACACTGATTGGCTTGATAAGGTTTCGTACGTCATCTCGAGATCAGGTAACAGCATGCAAGGCGGGTGATCGAATAACACTTGCAGTTTCTGGCTACCAAACTGCATTATTTGCTCACTTTAAAATTGCAGAATAGTTTTATATCGATCTTGTAATATACGATATGAGCAGACGAAAGGAAAAGTTTAATGGCTTGATTTGACGTTTAATGATTGACTCGCAAAAATCATTTAGCCACGGAGAAAGCACCCAATTTCATTCGCAAATCTGTCGAATTAATTATTATTAGTTAATTAATAATAATTAATCATTATAATGTGCTTCAGCTGTAGGAGTCGAATTAATCATGTGCTAATTAATGTGCTAATTAATGTGCTAATTAATGTGCTAATTAATGTGCTAATTAATGTGCTAATTAATGTGCTAATTAATGTGCTAATTAATGTGCTAATTAATGTGCTAATTAATGTGCTAATTAATGTGCTAATTAATGTGCTAATTAATGTGCTAATTAATGTGCTAATTAATGTGCTCCAGCTGTATGAGTTGATACAGGCTGTGTAGACAACGTAGTACAGAGGATTTGCAGGTCGATTTGTATCGGATTTTGCAAGCTGCATATTGTGTTGAGGTTGCTTATATTTTTAGTGATTTATTTTAACTGGTACGCACGGAGGAATTAATATTTTAGGATCTGAGTTTTAAAAGATTCAAGATCCATTATGTATTCAATTTTGAATATTATTTTGTAATAGTTTTGATTAAAAAAGCTTAGTTACCGGTAAGTTTGAGTTCGTCTACAGATGGATTTCTCAGCTTGGTTGTGATGGTGAACTCAACCTTGTCGTGATAGTTACCTGCAATGTTTTGTGTTTACCCAGGTGTATCATAGAGACAATTAATTTTACCTGCCAATCTGAAGACTGTAAAATGACTGAGGTAAAATTTAAAAACAGTTTTATAATTCTAAAACATGGTCCTCAACAAATTTTAGTTTTTTAGTGTACCCTGAAATACCCTAAAATACTTAAAATAATGTCATGAATCATACCCTGAGCAAGGACAAGCAGGTAGACAGGTCCGTACTCTTCTTTAGGGATGGTTGGAATAACTGCGTTCACTTTAGCACCGGAGGAGTCGTAGAACTTCGTACCACGGTTTGTGACCTGAAATTGGTCACCTTCAGTCTGCATTTCAAACAATGCTCTGAACATATTATCAAGTATCCAGTTAATAGTCTCCTCAATAAATCCAATAATTAAATCAAGCCAGTCACTCCTCACCACAGCTCTGTAGCAGATACCATTGCTCATCATGGTGTCAGTGCAGAGGAAGGACGCAACACCACCTGGAGCCTCGTTCACTGTTTCAGGGACCAGGGTGGTCAGGGTCAGGGATCTCTGGTCGTAGGTGTCCTCGAAACAGAAGGGGATCTTGTACTGACCGGTGTCTCCTGGTCATCAGGTTTTAAAGTTGGGAGTTATAGTAGACTAAAGAGTAAAGGTTAATTTGGACCTTTACAAATACCCACTCTTTTTAAGCTTTTGAGTTTACTTCTATAAACACAGTGTACAATTATAAACCCCTCCGGGATAGAATAAGATTCTGATAATCCCGGCTCCCGCTAAATAGATTCTGATAATCCCGGCTCCCGCTGTTAGTTTTTTCCCGCTGAATAAATAACCCCGGCACAGCTTTTATAATCCCGCCCCGCTAATTTGGCTCAACAAGATTTGTTTTGTTTTGATATTCCATGAGAATTTCAACCGCGCACTGTCACGTGTTTTGATGACGTGTATCACGTGACTAACTACTACGACGCGCATTGGTAAAAAATGTCACGTGACCTATGGCTTAACGTAAGAACTATAAATACACTCGATCTACGTATCGGTCTAATTGCAGGCGCTGGCAAAACTCCAGCACACTGCTTACATTACTTAAACTCTTACATTAATTGGACCAGTTCCAAAACTTGTCTCGACGGTTACATTTGATTTTGTCCGGTTCGGTTAATTTTGTCGTGTTTGATATAAGCCATGTATTATAGTCGTCTACTTTGATGAACTTCATGACACGATATCATTATTAGCTTTTATCGCTTGCCAGGCTTAACTCGACGCCCCTTATCGATATTCATATTCATTCAACGTTCTGACTGAGGAATAATGTTTAGATATAACGCCAATTTCAAAAGTCATAGTACCTTAGTTGTATTTATTTGGTAGTCCCCAATTCCATTTCATATTTTCCATAATGATCTCATATAGCTAGAATTAAGAGTAAAATGTCAAATTTGTTGGTCCTAGCACTAACCCGGAGGGGTTTATAACACATAACACCGGCACGCTTAAGTTATATTAAAATAACCCCTCGTGCTAAAGCACGTCGGGGTTATTTTCATAATAATCCCTCGTGCTTCGCACTCGAAATTATTATAAATTTTTCCCGCGCGTCGCGGGAAAAATTGAAATATAATCCCTGCGCATGCCGGGGTTATGTGTGTTATAAAATTTCGTTGCAACAAATGCAGCGACCCTAGTATTATTCTATATAAGAAGTTAGCTAACCTGAGGTAAGTTGGGCGGTGAGGGGGATGGCAACCTGTTCCAGGGTCTGAATACCACACCCTCTAGTAGCAGCGCTCGCCGAGACTGTCTCCGCACTGAAAAGGGATCAGTTGTACAATTGCCAAGAAGAGCAGTTCTTATCAATAAAATGGACAAAACATCTTGATCAGCTTTTGAAATCAAAGTTTGCAAAACTGGTTGAAAATAGACTAATCGTGGTAATGAGTCTTGTATTTAATCAGTAATATTACCTGTCCATGCCGTCGGGGATCATGAGATCATCACTAGGCTCGTTGGCTGCCAGCTCCAAACCGTATTGGAAGGTCGGGGTACCGTGGCTTGCTGTAATCTGTATGTAGATGTCGTCCGAACCCCCTGTCATTTTTATTGTAATAATATAATTTTATTGTAATATGATGGTATTATGATTATTTGATTGTACAATCCTGTCCAGTATAACTGGGGTGCTTCAAACTAGTAATTTATAAATTGTCAAAAACTAAAATCTTTAAATTCAACTATGATCTGTTACCGAATTGTTAATGGTATTATGATATAGATATAAAATGACATGTTTATCTCAAAATCAAAAGCGGGCTTGTCGATTACAAAAAAGTGTCTGCTCAGTATAAAGAAATTTGATACGGATAATTGTGTACTGGGCAAAATAATTTGTTATAAACAGTAAACAATGACCATATAAATCTGTTAAAAATCTTATAAACTAGTTTACGTTTTGTCTTTAATCCTTGATATTAACTTAAAATGTTATTTTTTTGATGTGTCGTAATTATGTACTTGAATTGACAATAAATCAACAGTGAAAACACTGGCCATTAAAATAAACATAATTTGAGCATCATATTATTAAATGATGTAACAGAATTTTAACTGGGCCGAACCAAATAAATCTACTTTAACGGGGTATAAAGCTAAGGGATAATTGTTAAATGCATTCAGAATAATATTCTTAGTTCCGCTTCGTTACGTTACTCAGACTTCAATTCAATCTTAATTGATCATCATGGTGAGTTTATGATTTTGTATTAATGCTTTTCAAACAAAGTTACAACGAATTCTTCATGAAGTGCATCCTAGGTTTGGACAGGATATGCCCGTTTAAAATATTTCCATCACGTTACATTACATAATTCTCAATAAATGTAATAGATTTGTTAAGATTTGTGGTGTTGTAATTATTTTAAAATATATAATATGTTTCATAGTTAAATGTATCGCTCCCCGATCTAGCGTGGTGGTTCCCGCCAAACTCGCGGTAAATCGGGGTTTTACTGTATTACAAATCAGCGCCAGTAGTTAATAGTATGTCACATGTTACAGGTTAGTATGTCACATGTTACAGGTTAGTTAATAGTAATATATTACATGTTACAGGTTGGCTTACACGTTGCACTGTCGTAAGTAAACGGAGAAGTAGCAGGTTTCGGGTCATAACCGGCTTTTTTAGCTTCCTGTGCGTTATCTCGGACAATCGTTGTAAAGCTCGGCCTGAGAAATAAGCATGTTGCTATTCTAGTTTATCAATCAGTATCAAGTTTCATCCTTACGGAATATCATACTTGAATATAAACAGCATAAACTTGATCAATATACACAAGGATATACTTGCATACTACTCAAATGATGAGTAGAATGCAGGTATACCACGTATGCCAGATGTATGAATGATACATCTCCACAAGCAATCCGCACATAACTTTTGAACTCACCCATTGGAGACTTGGATGTGGAGCCAGTTAGCATCTCCTATCTCGGCAGAATCCCAAGGTTCGTTCATCATGTATACCTTCGCTTTGAAGGACCAGCCGTTCAGCAGACCTCCTTTGCAGAGTGGAGCCCTGGAAACAAGTAAAATTATAAGTTAGATAAATATAAGCTAAGTGATAAGCTAAGTAGAGTAATAAGTTAGTGCTAAGTTAGTAAGTTAAGTTTTGTAAAAGTGGTTTTTGTTAGTTTCACAGTACCTGCATGATATGGCTCACTGAAAAAATGTTGACGGTAAAAGTAAAGAAAGAGATGAATGTTAAATGTTTTGCTATATAATTAAATAATTGGATAATATTAATATGCTACCTGAAAATCTGGGTTTCTCCCTCCTTTATGTCCAGGGCGTGGTCAGGAGCGTAGTTGATTTGCATAGTTTGGAAATCTACAGGTTTTTTAGCGTAGGCGGGCGACAGAATGACTGCCGATATGGCAGCAAAAATGAAAAGTAGCATTATGTGATCTATAGGGAATTTAATTGTGTTATTAGTGCTTTTCAAGTGAGATTCAGCCTTTTTTATATGTTGTTTAGACTAACTATTTAATTCCCATGATCCATCCCATTATATATTCAATAAATACATTCAATCCTAGTTGGTAAACAGATTATAGTTAGTATGTTATAGTTACATGGCTGTTACAGTGACATGGCTGGACGAATGACAATATTAGTTATATACATATAACAATAAAATACGGTAACATTTAAATTACTTTAAAATGAAAAACATTGAAAAGAAAAGCTTCTTCGAGTAAAATGTATTAACTTGAAGATTCTGCAAATCAAGAAATACATCTAAAACGGATGTTGCTGTTATTTTTATAGGCTAAAGCACTCCCGTTACTTAGCGTAATAAACTATTAATAACCCTAGGGGTCAACCATTATCTTGAAAAAAGGACAAAATTTGGATTTAAGTAGTTAGATTTGTGAGGGACACTAATGAGCTGGGAAATAGTGAACACCTCTCAAAAATGATCTGCTGCAAATGTCATATCTTCAGACAAAATATGGTATTTCTTTCTGTGGAAGTTGAAGTGGCAATTATTTGACAATTCTGAGAGTTCTTGCGAAGTCTCTCCCTATACTACTCAAATTAAAGTTAAGTGCGCATCACCCGTTAAGATATCATAAATTGTGACCACCATGATATTTTTTCAGCAGAATTTTAGTACGGCTGTGCGGCACTGATAATAAATATAATACACTGTTTTTAACACTAACTTACGTTGTGTGCTTCTCTTTGTGTCAAAAAGATTTATATGTTTTTAATACTAAATTTCAAGCAATTTTTCTTTAATTCATCAACTTACGAAATTTTGTCAAAGATAGTAAAATAGTGTAGTTTATTTACACTTTTACAAACACGTAGCAAGGATAACGCTGGCCTAATTTTAATAGCACTTTCGTCTCTAGGGACTAGCCGGTTGCAAATGGGCCCTGTTAGAAAAATCGAAATAAAATAAGTATCTAGATAAAAGTCTTTTAAGAACACCAAAATGTACCATGTAAATGTAATGCTGCACCAAGTTAGGTACCGAGTAAGGTCAATGCACGGATAAAAGTCAAAAGTAATTACTTATCGAATATCAGAATACCGTTATTCAGTTACGCCATAAGAATGATGTGTAAATACTGATTGGTTTCTGTAGAAAGATTTTTACAAGTTTATGATGAAGTATTCCCAGTCTGGTGACGGTAAATGTTGTGACTCCTGCAGCCACGTGACTCCTGCAGTCACGTGACTCCTGCAGTCTTATCACGTGACAGCTGCAGTCTTATCACGTGCCTCTTGCAGTCTTATCACGTGACAGCTAATGGTACCTACTCAATATCATAGTGTGGGATGATCTCATCAAGAAATATAGAGTCAGGTCTACTTCCCTATGTTGTTCAACTATTCGAGTAAATGTTGTGATGTCAGATGCCCTGACGGAGAGATGAAGCACTTGTGACACGTCACGTGTCACTTATTGCCCAATCAGCTTACAGTGTCAAAATCTTAAATAACAGCCGCGTTTCAAAACAGGTTGGTTAACTTGGTAAATATCTGAATCTTACTCAGCAGATCAACAATTATTAAAGATTACAATCTAGCCTATGTAAGTATGTACAGGGTGTTTCAAAAATGGTGTTCTGATTTTTTTAAATGCAAATTTTTATAAAGGAGGAGTGATCATTCGGGGTTTACTAAAACTCAAATCACATCGAATTGAAAACTATGCATGAACATTGAACCCATGTTCCTGATAGGATGAACTAAAATAATATGCTAGATTGAAATTTTGTCCTTTTTTATAGTTGACAGAACTCTTGCACCAAGTGTCATGGGGTTAAATAAAATTACCCACTGCAGTTCAAGAATGACGTGATACTGATAAGCAAAAGCAAGGCTTTTGGGCGAGTTTTGAATGAGGTAATTAAATTATACGCGACGTGAGAAATTGTATACTCTCTTTACAGTTCAATTGATAGTCAGCTGCGCTTCTTGCAGATAAAATGATGACTTAATCGAAATTTTACTTAAAGCTTGTTTTAACATTTTGGTAATACAATTATTATGAGGTAAACGTCGTGTGCTCAATTTCTTAGTTCATCGCCTTATCAAAATATAACATGTACCAACTTTGATAACGGAGGGTTCGAAAAAATAATACAGTTTTACTTCGAAATTTTACGTTCTGCATACAATTCACAAACTTTATTTAAGGAAATAAAATCAATTTAAATGACATCGAGAATGATGAGAATACACAAATAAAGCACCTGCACCTACGAGTAGAATGTAGAAACATGGTTTACAAGCTGGCTATAACTCGTTTGCAAAGTAAATCGGAAATGTATGGGGACAATCATTTTGCCTGTAATGTTGTTAATTAACCAAAGTAAGCATCAGTTTTGTTAGGACAATATTTTAAATTTCGCAAGTTGTATACTTCCTCTTTTGAGAATAAAGCACGGTCCACACTCGTAGTAAAATGCTTTACTTCGTTAGAGTGGGGCACTTTTGTATTTTTTGTTAAATTTTATATTCTCAAGTTCTCATATTAACAGCTGCGTTAATAATAAGATTAAAAACTTGTTTAGATATTTTAGTTGAACAATATTATAAATTTAAATTGTAGGTCTATAAGATAGAAAATATATCTTTTTCGGAAAACTTTAAAATCGATCGCTCATTTATGTGGTTGGAACGGTTTATTAATTTATCGCTCCTGAAGGTATAAATGCATTTATGAAACAAGAAAAACGCCATCTCGGCCTTTACATTATGTAATTTGAAATATTACACTTTTTGCTCTTAAAAAATCCATTGCTCTGTCACTTCAGTACAAATTAATATATAAAAATATAAGAATATAAGAATTGGATATGTCTCAGACCTGATCATGAAAGTGTATTAGTCAGGGCAGACTCTCTCTCTCTCTCTCTCTCTCTCTCTCTCTCTCTCTCTCTCTCTCTCTCTCTCTCTCTCTCTCTCTCTCTCTCTCTCTCTCTCTCTCTCTCTCTCTCTCTCTCTCTCTCTCTCTCTCTCTCTCTCTCTCTCTCTCTCCTCTCTCTCTCTCTCTCTCTCTCTCTCTCTCTCTCTCTCTCTCTCTCTCTCTCTCTCTCTCTCTCTCTCTCTCTCTCTCTCTCTCTCTCTCTCTCTCTCTCTCTCTCTCTCTCTCTCTCTCTCTCTCTCTCTCTCTCTCTCTCTCTCTCTCTCTCTCTCTCTCTCTCTCTCTCTCTCTCTCTCTCTCTCTCTCTCTCTCTCTCTCTCTCTCTCTCTCTCTCTCTCTCTCTCTCTCTCTCTCTCTCTCTCTCTCTCTCTCTCTCTCTCTCTCCTCTCTCTCTCTCTCTCTCTCTCTCTCTCTCTCTCTCTCTCTCTCTCTCTCTCTCTCTCTCTCTCTCTCTCTCTCTCTCTCTCTCTCTCTCTCTCTCTCTCTCTCTCTCTCTCTCTCTCTCTCTCTCTCTCTCTCTCTCTCTCTCTCTCTCTCTCTCTCTCTCTCTCTCTCTCTCTCTCTCTCTCTCTCTCTCTCTCTCTCTCTCTCTCTCTCTCTCTCTCTCTCTCTCTCTCTCTCTCTCTCTCTCTCTCTCTCTCTCTCTCTCTCTCTCTCTCTCTCTCTCTCTCTCTCTCTCTCTCTCTCTCTCTCTCTCTCTCTCTCTCTCTCTCTCTCTCTCTCTCTCTCTCTCTCTCTCTCTCTCTCTCTCTCTCTCTCTCTCTCTCTCTCTCTCTCTCTCTCTCGCTCTCTCTCTCTCGCTCTCTCGATGGCTCTCTCGATGGCTGCCGGCCACATCATGAATATCATAGTAGGTCTGGTTCTTTCTGCTCTTACTTGCTAATAATATTACTATATTAATTATATGTGTGCATATATTTATATTTATAATGCTTTTGGACACGAAGGGAAACACACAACGTAAAGCTTGAAATCTTCGTAAAACTACATCATTAGAGCCTCAAATTATTTGTTATATAGTAGTGTTGAATGTATATCTATATTTGATTGTAATTAAAGATTTTAAGGCGTTGGTGCCGAGTAATGCCTCCGGGTAGTGCTCCTCAATCAATCAATCACTTATTGTATAAAAATAAATGTTGTATAATTAATCTCACATCCTAATCCACTGAAATCCAGCCTTGCCAGTGTTTTAAAATGTTCATGTTTACCTTTTCAGTAAATTTCAGCCATTCGTCATCGCCATCCTGGCCTAGTGCCAGTTCACATTTATGATTTATGATTTATGATTTGTAGATAACTGCATGGATCCTTGCTAGTACAGTTTTAATTGGTACAAAATAAAATGCATTATTGTAGCTAACAAATTAAAAGTTAACCGACGAATAAGAACTGAAATGTAAAAATATCACTGAAACGTAAATGAGCCCATACTGAATTGGAAACTTTTTCCATTATTTTGCTAAATTCTTTGACCTTTTTCATACCTTAAAACTAAGGTACCGTTGTTGCACTTAAAACAAAATGCATGAAACAAATGATTTGCAAGTTTTTCTAATAAGGAAATGTTCCTGCTTCATTTCATATCACAGGGTTTTTAGGCTAATTTTCATGATTAAAATTGGTCTTCACATCGATTAGAACCATCTAACCCCGTACCCAATACCCATCGTAAAATTAATCATAACAACAAATCTTGCAACTCTCTACAAACATATTATCATCAACTGCTTCGTTCAGTCAACAGCTGATTGTGAAATCCATTGGATTTTATTTTGATATTTGAAATAAATTGACTCGGTTTTCAGATTATGAAACTTGATTATTCGAGCTTTTAATTTCAGCATGACTTATGAGCCAATAACTATATTGTTGAATATCACAAAAAAAAACTAGTAATACTTAAATAGTTAAATATGATTCGTGCTCGCCAAAAGAACTTGGCATAAGTTCCTTGTGATCTGATCTGAATACTGCACATTTAGTTGTAATCCTTTGTCTCGCGTTGCGACCGAGCTG